GTTGTGTATACCGTGAGGGTTTTTTTTTTCTCTGAACATAGGATAAATGTTAAGTTGGTTGCATACCTGCTTGTAATGGATTGACTTGGACTTTTAAAAACTGAACATAAAATCAAATCGAGATTTAGGATATGTCTAAAGATATTGCGATTGACATTTTGGCACTACTGTCTTCATGTTAAGGTATTGTAATAAGTACAAGTTTAAAGAACAGAAAATTTACGTTTTTGACCTTTTTAAAAAAAATTCGTCAAAAATTTTGCTGTAAATGTCATCGTTGACATGGCCTACTCCTCAATTATTACGAATCTTATGTTATCTTATGTTCAGTCCAAATCAATCCATTGGAGCATGAATATGCAACCCAACATACATGCATTATCCTATGTTCAGAGAAAAAAAACCTTCACGGTACGTCTACATTAAGACAAAGAATCCAATAATTAAGCCCCACCCACCCGCCCTTGTCTCAATTGTGATGAATTTTTTATTCGTTGTCAGATAGGGGGGCGGAGTTTAATTGCAAAATCCATATTTATCTACAAAAATTTATTATTTTAAACATATTTTAAGTTTCTTCTTCTTCTTCTTCTTTTCTTCAATTGGGGTAGTACTTTTTTACTTCCCGAGCGTAAGCGAAGGAAGTATTGTAATCGAGTCCGTCGGCCGACTCTCTATTTTTACGTTTTCTCGACCTTTCATGACCCCTACAAGACGAAGAAATAGGTATCCCGTTTCCGTCTGTTTGTCTGTCCGTCTGTCCGGATTTTTATTAGACAGCTAATCTCTGAATGTACTGGGCCGATTGCCAATTTTGTATTTATATTAGGAATATCATGTAGATGGTAAAACGCTAACCAAAATTTATCTAATCATCCCCACCACCAATGCAATGACGTCACTTCAAAATTGTACATAGCAAATGGGTTTTAAATTGTATAAAATAACATAGTCCTAAAGATGTAGTTTATGATCCCGAATAGAGTTTTTAGCTGAAACGTCCAGATTTTTGGAAAAAAAATCAAAATTAGAAAACAACATTTTGCAATTTAATTTTGAATCTGCTAAAACGAATGTTTTGAAATCTTGCATAGGTTTTAAGGTTATAAAGAGCATAATAAATTTTTAGTCAAAATATATTTGCTTATCCCCTCCAAAAAATTGATGACGTCAGCTCAAAAGTTTGCCGAATAAATCCCATCTATAATGCACAAAATATGATGAGTCTGTACTTGTAATTTATCATTCCATTCACATTTTTTGGAATTGTATATACAGGTTGACTCAAAAAAATTAATAATTGCGTAAATTTATTTTATTGATTTAATCAGGAACTACAAAACCAAATGCTTTAAAATCTTGGAGATGTTTTAAAGTTATCATAAGCATAGTAAATTTTTGATCAAAATGTATTTGCTCATCCCCCCTAAAAATTGATGTACTGTTTGTTATAAGACTTATTTTTTATTTCAGAAAAAAAAATGAGAGAACGGGTGGGTGGGCGGCACTAAGTTTAACTTTTTCCGATATATATGTACTACCTTTAATAAATATCCATGTTTCATCCAGAAAATTAATAATTTTGTTTTTTTGTGGTACTGATTTCACCAAAAATGTTGTTCTTCTTAGCTTAATGGATAGTGTGTCCATTAGAAACGCTCGATTATTATTTTTATAAAATTTAAAACCAACTTTTCTAATCCATATATTTAGTGTCCTGGGTCCAGCTTTAAAGTCCGGTATGTCTTCCACAGCTCTAGCATGAAGCGCTTAATGCTTACGTGTTCGATGGATGCAATCATTTTAAACATAATTTCCGTGACTGACATTAAATCTACAGGATTTACTTGAGTTTTTATATTTATAACAGTCGTAGGCATATTCCCTTTGTATTCTGTATCACTTGAATCTGGATTTTTTTGTAAATTATATAAATATTTTTCAGAAGTTTTTCGTTTTTTCTTAAATTGCACATCATTATGGTTTCACATTTAATATAACTTTGTTTTGTTTGATCACTAAATCGGTTCATTCTTCAGAATTAAATAGAGTAGTAAAACCTTAAACGTACCAAGGATTCTGTTCGATAAATAATTCTGATGACAAATTTCAAAATTTGACAAAAAATTTCTACGACAAACTCAAAATTTGGCGTAATTTTTCGTCTCACACAAAGTACATAAGATAGACAGAGGAAAAGTTTTACCTGGGGGTATTTCCACCACTATACATACATAAACAACCAAATACATTTATTTATTCTATTTTAGAACCATAATCTTATTTATAAGCACCCAAATGCGGGCTTAAATTGGCCTTTTTAGCACAAATCTGTCAAAAATTGCTAAGCAACAATTGATTGTTCATTTACACTAATCAATTAATTATTCAAACACGCTTCGGTATTCAACGTTTTTCTTAAGTTGGAAAAATAATACTTTATCAAATCATTACCTGACCGAGTTCAAATTCTTCTAAACTTTCATTTGAATAAAGGTTTTCCGCTTCTTTAATTTACATTTTGAAAAACGAATTATCAAATAATCAACGTGGTATCCATAACAACATCAAAATAATAGCCAGCTATGTATTAAAATTCGCATCGGCACAATTCACACAGTCTTGCCGAAAATACTCAATATTTCGTTAAAAATAGTTTAGAAACTAAAATAGAATAAAACGTTGTATGTACCACGTGCATAATTGTCGATTGTGGCACTCGGGAAATTAAAAGCCCTCCTTCGTCGGGCTTTAAACATTCCCTCGTGCCACAATCTCCCTGATTATGCCCTTAATACATAAATAACTATATTACAGTCGGGACCGTTACTATAAAACCATCTGATAAAAAGTAAAGTTGGCAGCACTGCCGTTTAGTATTTTATGATCAATGCGGTTGGTAACGACAGCGCGCATGACGCTTCGCGTTAACAGCTAGTTGACAGGCGCAACAATAATTTTCGAAAAATTCGAGTCGTGCTTTTTTAGAGCTATATTATGCCTTCCCGACATAAAAGAACTTTGCTGTCGCAAAAAATGAAGACTGCTGTGGTAAAATGTTACCGAGAAATTGGCGAGCTCGGTCCCACTTTGTCAATTCGACAATTGGAAGAGAAAGTCGCAACCATATTTTCGGTACAGTACTCCTTTTGAATAAGCAGCGGCTTTCAGATATTCTGTCCTATGTACCCGACAATCACAACCGTTAATTTCTCATTATTTCCTTATCCTTTATAGTGCTCAAGAAGTCAGATCCGAACCATAATTTCCCAAAATAATGCCGGCGTTCCTACTCTTGATCTCCAAACGGGCAGAAAACCAAGATGTCGATTTCACACTGATTTCCTATTTAAAGAAGAACTGAGCCTACATATCTACCAAAGAAATAAAAAGAATGAATATTTCACCGCAAGGGATTTATTTCAATTTGCAAGAACTGAATTAGAATACACAGCGAGTTTAACAACACTGAAACGCATTTTAAAATCAATGGGGTATAGGTACAAGAAAGTGAATAACCGAAAAATTTTAATTGAGGGACCTAGACTTCAATCCCAAAAAATTAAATTTTTAAGGCAATATTTGCAACTGGTAGATCAGAATGTAACGTTCGTTTTTCTCGATGAAACGTGGATCTATGAACATGGTTCTGCTGTAAGAAGGTGGGTGTTTGAAGGTGATAGAAGGGGTATGCCAGAGAAAGTTTGCATGAATGAAGGAAAGCGATTCACAATACTTCACGCCGGGGGCAAATTTGGTTTTCTCGAAGGATGCCATTTATTTTTGGATAGCAAAGTAGATAGCAGAGATTATCACAAGACGATGACTGGGGACCTGTTTAAGCAATGGACTGAGCAACAACTAATTCCAAATGTCAAACAGATGAGCGGCAAAGTGGTTGTTATTATGGATAACGCGCCGTATCATTCAGTCCATGCTGAACAGCTCCCCAATTTTTCTTGGAAAAAGTCAAAATTACAACTTTGGTTGCATCAAAACGAAATTCCCTTTGATAGTAATTTAACGAAAAAGCAATTGTATGAAATAATAAAACCTAATATTCTTTCCCGAAAAAAGTACTTAATTGACGAGTTGCTATCCAAAAATGGCATACAAGTATTACGACTTCCCCCATACCATTGTCAGTACAACCCCATTGAAATGGTATGGGGTTTTTGTAAACAATATTACAACAAGCATATTCTTGAACAGCCTTCAGGAAAATTAAAAGTTGCTAATTTATGGAAAAAAGCACTGTCTAAATATACTCCCGAAATGTGGCTAAATAGTGTTAAACATTGTGAACAAATAATTAAGGAAGACTGGGTACGATTGATGTTGAATGAAAGCGTGCAAGATATACCACCGATAAATTATATCACTCGCAGATTCTGATGATGAATCAATTATAAGCTTTAGATCAGAATCTGCAGACGATATTTCCTTGGAGGATGAGAATCTGCTTGAATGTAGTGAAGAAGATGAAAGAAAAATAGTATGCAAGGATGAGCAAATGATTTGTTTGTTAGAAACAACAGAATCTGAAAATCAGAGTGATGTGGAGCTTCTTACAGTAGAATTTGTTGATTAACTGTTTTGGTAATCTACATAGAACGGGAAATTTATTAATCTCTATACAATTGCACTGTATTGTATTGTTTTTTTTACGTTTTAAAGTAATCACTGAGAATGATAAATTAGATTTCACTAGTCCTTTCTTGTTTCTCTGCATGAATATCCCACAGTAGGGTTTTATCATATTGCTATAATAAATTTGTTCCAATAACACTGGTGTAGTTATAAGTTCACCCATCTCATTTCTGTCTTTTGTATTCTTATCTGCATAAAATATACACAGTATTAAGTTCATTGTGATAATATTAAATTTGTTCAAACGCTACTCTTAAGTTATGAGTCCACCTTTCTTATTATTTCTCTTTCAATTTGTTTTTAAATGTTCATTTGCATGGACATGCACATCTTATGCCTGGATTGGATCTGTTCTAATTCTACTGTCAAGTGGAAGTTATGAAGTCACTTATCTTATTATAAGCATCTGCATAAAATGTATAATGTAAATAGAGCCTTGACTCTCAAAACTACTCACAATTTTGTATTTTTCCCTCATAAAACTGTATTGCTGTTTCGTGTGTTAGAGATTTTGTAATAAAAACCTTTTGCTGTACAAATCATATACTATGAAGCACAATTAAGCAATTCAAAGAAAGATGTGTTACACACACCTGTCCTCTGAAACAAAGTTTTTGATTTAACCACAGCTATATTCAAGTGTGTACTACAAATTTTGAATTTTAGTTTCCATGGGGCATTTTTCTATGTATGAGTTTCACTGTCTTCTTTTCCATGTAGCTGTCCTATTTGAAGTCGAAACATTTTTTAGTAATTGTAAACAGATTTAGCAGTTGTGTTTGCAAATAAATATTTAACTGCAAGCCTTTTTAATGCTCTTTTTCGAAGGATTCAAACTTTTGAGAGACTGAAAAAAAACTAATGATGACTAGTTATCAAATATGTATAAAATTTTACCCTTTGGAAAATCCATAAGTACAAAAAGTACAGAAAAATTGGTTTGCCACGTTTTGTCACTCGGAACTCTTTTTTCATCAAGTCAAGAAAACCATCTTAAATTTAAACAGTTAGCGTGGCAGGATATACAAGTAAATTTCCTTTATTTGATATATAGTGGGAATTGAGTATTGTTTGTTGTCTGACCTGAATCGAAATACCTACGCACCTACAAGCGTATAATTAATTTTTTTCACTAGTAGCGTAGAGATGCACCACTATCATGCTTTGTCTGTGAGTAATAAATTCATTTTTCTCCATGATGGTAATTAAATTTGGCTAATGGAAGTGAAGTTAATGTTCACCGAGGGTCAATAACCATTCTATTTTAACGGTCTATAGTAAAGATTGAGGTTATGTAACGCCTTAACAAACGAAAATTGGCGATTATTACCAGATTTTTTAAATCATTTTCACGAGGAACAGTATCTCTAGAGGAGTACATAGTTCACAGCTTGATATATTTCCTAAAAAAATAACAAATTAACTGACAATTTGAATTTACAAACCTCATCATCTACAAACCAACATGAAACCAAAACTTTTCAAACGTCGAAAAATAATGACGGAAAATATCAAAACCTAGTTAGGTGATGTTAGTGATGAAAATTTTTCAAATGTGTTTTGTAGTGCGCTACTAGTGAAAAAAAAATAGCATATACCTATGCCATGGCAGTGAAGATATATAGACCTCACGCTTACAATAATCCTTGACGCTTCACGTCTCGTGCTCTAATCTGTGTTCAGTCTATATAATGATTATCTTCAGCATAGATAAGAGACATATATACTATTTACTTCACTACCTTGGCCTATAATATACAATTATTTTACAGTCACTGTTAACTCAACATGAATATCGTAGAAATTGGATTTGGGTACGTTTCTCAAAGTTCTTGGCATACTTACATACGTTAATTTATTCAACTTTTTGACTGTTTCCTTGTTTTTATACAAAAGTCCTCGGTAATTTTGTATCTGCGTAAGTGGTAACCACCTGTGCTGATCAACAGATATTTGGATACTCTTTATCATTTTACTGTTTTACAAATCCCTATTTGACAAATTATTGACAGCATCATAACCTAACAGAAGATTTCCCCCAAAAATCTCACCAAAACCCATTAATTCAACTTACACTCAACAAATTTTGAAAACTTACACTAGGGAGTGGTTTTATACTAATGGTCCCGACTATAAAATCATGCACTACAGTTGAAGTGTATGTCACATATTCAGCTAACCCAACCAGGTATTCAGGCCTATATTTTTAACTTACTTTAATATGGGCTATTACTAAGACGTTTACAACTACATGAAACAAACTACATTCGCGTTTGTTTTCACATATAACTCGACATCAAGTTTTTTGATCACTCGATATATGCCTGTTGGTCACGACAGTGTAACCTGGACTCTTAATTTAGACTCTCTAATTGGCAGACACTGTAGTAGCCATGCAGAAAATATCGGTTCTCTAGACCAAGCGTAACATTCGCTCTAAATAAACCAATGTCGTGCAAAATAGGGGACACTTTCATGAATATGGAATTGCCGCTCTTACATGTGGAATAAAATGTGATGTGGACATTTGAACAAAAAGGATGACAAGAGGTTTTCGGTGTGTTCTGTGTTTAAATTACACTAAAAGCAGGAGGTGGCCCATATATTTTTTTAATTCGTTTTACGAACGTCCGGCTTGATTATTTACAATATCCTACCATTTTACTCAGCCTCATTTATTAAATCCCTCCTAATTAAATGTTTCGCAATTATTACGATGCAAATAATTAAGTACGCTCTCCGGCCAATTTAATATATAGCCAATTCTTGCAAAATTATATAACTTATCTTTTTGGTTTAATTATGAAGTGCTTTATTTGTAATATTAAACCAAAAATGTGTAAAAAATTACTTTACCTCTATCTCAAAACATTTGAACCTAAATTTTGGCACTCTTAAGATCGACCTCGTTTCATTTTAAATATAGCGCAGCTTTTTTAAATAAATTCATTAAAATAATAAATCATATAACCCATTATATATACTGAGCCAAAATTTGTGATGTATCAACTATTACCACCAAATTAAAACAAACTCCCACACATGGTGGTTTATAGTATAAAAAACGATGTCAGTTAGGTGCAAATTATATCTAATTTATTCAGGATCGGCTTCAAACAATAAACAACTGAGGCAGCAGCCTCAGGGCTCACCTTTGTAACGGAACGCAAAGTAGTTAAACAGAAGCGCCAAAATATAATATGACATCCTGCTAAAATACCCTCGCTTCCGTTGGACCAAATGTTTGAGCCCAACGCTGTAGAGGCACTATTTTTGTCCTGCTTTAAGGGCACGTCAATTTAAAGCCAACTCTGAAATTATGAAAACATTGTATCGAAAAGTCGACACGTCAGGTTACAGGTACACTTAAACGACTCCCATTGGACTAAATAGTCCGTAAGACATTTTCACTAGATAATCAAGTGCAGATAGTCTAACTGTCATGAGCGGATTTAGCCATCCGTCATTACCACTGAATATTTATAGAAACTACTGTCGTCTTTACAGGTAGTGTCTGTTCAGTGAAACTAATTCAGCAAAGCCACATGTTATTGACATCGGCTGTCTTGAGAACAACCCAAGTTTTTTTAAATAAAAACAAAACAGTCAGTATCAATATTGTAAAAAAAGGAAAACTCCACCGAAGAGACCTAAAAAAAATGTATCATTCTATCCAAAACAGATTGTGAACAGCGATCAATACATATAGTAATAATTATTACTATATACAATAATTCAAATCTATGATACAAGTGTATTTTTTTGTAGTACCTATAATTATCAACCAAATAAAATTAGGTATATTATATACTATATAACAAAAACTGAAAAGTTACTTTCTTTAACAAAACAATTCCTGCGGGAATTGATATAAGAAGAAGAATATTTTCTGAAATACATTAAGCCATCAAATATTAATAAGAGTAAATAGTTCAATCGATTATTAAAATAAGAGATTCGTCGTGCAAAATTACTTACCAGCTACGATTTATGTAATCAATAATTAATGCGTACTTTCTCGGTAGAAGTAAATATTCTAAAACATTCATAAATATCGATTAGATAATATGTCCATCATTAAAATTGAAACCGACCGGTTTGAGAGAACTTTGTGTAGTTGAATCAGTTTTTTTCTATTTTTAGAACATTCAGAATTCATGTTTGCGATTGAACACCAAATACTTGCACAGGGTTGTAGAAAATTATAGAGGAGAATTAATTACTTTATCAGCAGTTATTTTCTTAAAAATATATCACTTAACTACTAAATGATTTGTAGTAGCAAACTACTCGTATAACTAACAAACATTTGTTTCATAAATGCGTGACTATTTTTTTTTAACTAGTAAAAATCGTTACATAGAGGAGTTTTAATTAACGGCAAGAAAGTAGCCTGAATTGCGCAACGGATCGAACCCACTCATCTTTCGAGAAGTGGTGTTGAAGCGTTAAGCCCTGTCACAACGTTTGACATGTCGATATAATTCTCATTGTCAGTTCATTTATAACTTGTAAATAAATGAAGCACATGGAAGTTGACATCACCAATTAATTTAACAATGCTACCAGGTCTCCTTGATTGTACACGATACAATATTACCAACTATCTACGACAGAGCATGACGTCAAAATAATTCAGGTAAAGTTTATAACTAATAGTTAAATAATTATCAGCACATCACCACAAATATAGCAGAACAAAGCGAAAAAGAGGAACATGATAAGTACTGAATAGAAATGACTGGGCACGTGATCAACAATGGTGTCGAAATGTATAGATAACTTAGTCCTTGTCCATTTTCTGGTCAAATGCTAAATTTATTTATATTTATTTTACGTCAGTGAAAATGTGTGTTCTAAATACAATACATTCCAAGAACGACAACAGAATACGAAAGGATATAAAATCAGAACGAGAAAATAAGAAAAGTGTAGGAGGTGAACAAGGATGATGAGATAATGACAAAACCGAACGACAGATGATAAAATTAAAAAGTAAAAAACTCCAAGAAAGAACGGAGTTATGAATTATGAATGAAAAGAGAAAGTAGGACAAAGTTTGAGAAACGCATTGAGTCATATCTAAAATAATTATTATATACATATGACCATCGAGATATCCCAATTCTTCCAATATCAATAAAGATCAAGCATGTACAAAGGAGGAACGCACACTTCTCCACGTCATACAACTAACTTACTAAAATAATATATAAAATAATGTATGTTTTTACACCATAACATCTTCTAATAGCCTGATTTTTAGTGTACGAGTATCTTCAAACACGTAGACAGCGATAAGTGAGATAAAAACTAAAAAGTTATAAAAACTATTCTTTGCATAAAGAGCGGTATGGCTAGGAGAAAAGACGGATAAAAAGTTTTAACAAGGTGAAATATATGGAAAGAAAACAAAAAATTTCAAACAAATACAGCAGACGTACGTAATTGGCTATGATGTTTGCAACCAAGTACAGCGGAGTATATTATAAACAAAAAAATATGCAGGAGAAGTAAAATAGGTAGACACTGAATTCAGAGCTACAAAATTCCAAATCTTAGATAGTAGTAGATAGTAAGAACGGCAATAAAAGGAATATGAAGCAACAGGCGAAAATTATTGCCTCAGGGTGGAAGAAAAAAAAATACGTGTGTAGTGAGACAAAAAAAAATGAAACGTGTAAAGCTTAGGATTATCTACATACAGATTTATTTCAAATTTCTGTACCAAAAAATGCTACAAAGTTATGAACAAAATGTGTCGATGACTAATTAATAAAACAAACTGTATTAATTGGGAAATTAATTCTACGTGGCAATTAAACCTGCTTATTATACATTTAATATTTATACAATTACATTTATCAGGGCTTGGAATGTGTTAAAACAAATACTGAAGTTCACAGTTGGTAATTTATCAGTAACAATAATTTTACAACAATTTATTTAGATTCTTCCTTTTCCCGCATTAAATGCCACCCGATTAAAAATTGTTCTAAAATCGAGCACCTACTTTATGTTAAATAAAAAAAATGAATGACCAAACTATCAACAACTTTTTAACAGTAAATATTTGGCATTATTTTTTAATTACTCTAGAGCTATAATACTTACTTCAGGATGAAGATTTTAATTGAACCAAGCACTTTTTATTGCCACTTTCATATAATATACTACGCTAAGCACACCCATTTATATACATATATATATATATATATATATATGTATTTACTAAATTGGAAAGGTTTTCGATCACTCGATAAGATTTCCTGAAATATTTAAATAATAAATGAACTGACAATAAATGCAAAGACACATTCCAATTTGAACCATTAATTTAAGTTCGTTCGTAAAACTAACAAAGAAAAATAACGTAATAATATGATAAGGAAACATATGATAGTCGCATTATGAATATCGACAAACCTCTAACACATAATCTAAAGTCGAGAAAATCGTTTGATGTGTCTTCCAAAACGCTGGGAATCATTAATGTATGCTATAATGACACATAAATCACATAGATCTACACAGACCCACAAACAAGTAACACCCATCGTGTTCAAAGCACTTAAACGTTCCTCTATCTCCGTTTACGTCATGTGTTGTCTCAAAGCATTTAGAAGAGGGCTAAACTTGTGGAGACAGTTAAAAAACTTAGGTTATAACAGGCTCTTCTGACACCACCAATCTAAGTTATAAGTTGGTCTCTTTCGAAGCAGTTAAATAAAATATGTCTCGTTTAGATTTGGGGCAACGAGGCAATTCTCAAGCATCCATTAAATTTTATTGTGAAACGCCATTTTGTGTGCTCATCTAAACCATATAAATTAAAATTAGATCTACTCTGTGCCTTCAAATTATTTTTCTAATCAACTTCCCGGGCGCTAATAATTGCAGGCATTAAGTTAATCGCTCCGTGCAGAATACAATTTACTTCCAATAAAATGATATCGGCCAATTTTCCAAGATTATCTTTCTAATGCTTTTAGGGTCATTTCAGCGTGTTATTATTTTCTGCGGCGTTTAAAAGTAACAAAGAAGCTCTATAGATAAGGGGTGATATTAGAGCAGGCCGCTCATTCTTTATAAACTCTCTTTTTCGGTTTTGGTAAGAGGGTCGTAGGAAATTTTATAGTTTGTGACAGGAATCTGTCAGTTTGATCTTCTATCCAGAAGCATTTGCAGAATCAGTCAAAAGTAGTAAACGACGTAATGTTGAATGTGATAGGGCGGGTCAATTATAATTAGTCTAAAATAAACAGCTTTCAGTGAAACGTAACTAATTATTGGGAATAAATTTCCATAATAATGATGCCATTATATACGGTCAACAAAGACGTTTTAATTATTGGAGGAGTTAGTTCAATAATTCAAACGAACTTATTTAATAGTAATCATTAATTCAAATAGTGTGTGGGCGCTGCTTGTAATAACGTTATGTAAGAGTAAACTGAAATTGACAGTTTATCAATCAATCATACTGAATGAACAGTTTTTTCTTCCTAATATCCAAGCAAATTTTATTTAATTACTAAAACCAGAAAAAGGGCACTCTTTGAAAAATACGTGTAATGAAAGAAAAATAACTTGGTAACAACAAGCTGCAAGAACAGAAAATTCTGTTTTTAAAAATGCAAATAATAAGATATAATTTGTCAAAAATTACTGTACGGAAAATAAATATGGTAAAAATAATGTTTGCGTTTGAACAAGAATAAAAATAGTCCTTCCATCAAACCTTTGGATAATATTGTAAAATACATTAATTCTAATTTAGTACTTAGAACTAATTTCTTATGTATCTTTCTGTAAATTTGATAATGTACAATTATAAAAAAAGTTAACAAGTGGGCACCTATTTTAAAAATCAAAATTGCAGTAAATTGCCCAAAAATTCTTTATATTTTGCATCTAATAACTTTTTTTTTATTAGATTCACTTAAACTTTATTTTTATTTTAATAAAAAATTTATCTCTGTTGAAATAAAATAATCGCTGAAAAGCTTAAATCTACCAGCGTAGATCAGAACTGTTCAAGAGCCAGAGCAGTCATAAACATATAGGTTTTACAAAAGTTCTGACTGCATAAGTTCACAATAAACGCCGACTTTTTCTCGACACTTTAAATATAAAAAATACATTTTATATTTAAAGGTTTGCAAATGTGAAGAGAATTCAGAGAAACAGCGATCAAGTGGCTAAATCTCGGGAGACTTTTCTGACATGGGTTTAAAAAAGCTACTGTCACTCTAGACAGAATGTGGCGGAAATCAATAGTGACTTTATGAAGATGTATAATATAATTTTCCTATTATTTTCTGGTGATAGGTTAACTTTAATTTTCAAATTGGATTAGAGATAGAAGTCGTATATTTCAGCGTTTTCAGATTAAAACTTCCTAGAACAGCTTGATAACGGCAACATATTTCTGTTTATTTTTGTTTAAAAATGGGTGACCGATCATGGCGACCTTACTGCCCGAACAAAGAGAGAAGAAAATAAGGGCTTATCTTTCACCTACTAGACATAGACTAGATATTTTTGCATTTTTCGAGATCACAAAAGGAATAAAATAATTTAACACAGTCAACTAGTGCTTTAGGAATCATATTCCTGTATTTTGTGGAATATTGTGTTCCCAATAGTTAGAATCAGGAAACAGTACCTCAAATATTCCTGGTTGTTAAAGTTTAAAAGATTAGTTGAATTTTATAAAATCGTTTTTACTAGACGCTAGTGCTGCAATCTGCAGAAGCTGAACAAGGACTAATATAAATTACCAGCTATAGACAACCATTGAAAACTTATTAACCTTATTTTCTGTTGGACAAAATGGGACACTAAACTGGTGAAGTGTAAAACGAATGAAAACAAAACGAATAAATCAAAGAGCTGTGAATCGCTTACTATAAAAAAACCTGCTTATATTGATTTGAACCCTTCATTAATAATGTCGTAGAAAATTACCCACAATTTGTGTGAGAAATTTTTCAAACCACCCACTTATTAAATCTTTCGGGAAAAGTTACTTGTGGATTTCATACTTCTAAACGGGTATTAATTAACCAGTAATATATGTTATAATGCCATGAAATATGAAAACTAACATTAAATGAATTTAACAATCGCAAATATTGGTACATATTACTGACAATAGTATTTCAGGCTAAATTTAAGGAATTTGAGTAATTTATGAAGCTGTCCTTAAAGGTTATCCCGAATAAGAGAATAAATTCCACAATATTAAAAATTTCTTCAATTAGTTGTTAATCTCACTTTATCCGACGATCAAAATTTTTTATTATTGTTTAAAACATGTATATCTTATGAAGTTCACTCATCTTTGTGTCATTTTTTTCTTCAACATAATTATTTATTGTTTAATTGAAATTACTTAACAGCGTTATAAACTGAAAATTCTATTCCTATCGAAATTTGCGTCGCATCGAATTTAATAATTCAGAAGTGTCGAACAAATATTTATCTTTCTTGGTTGAAGGTTTAGTTTTCATTCGTGAATGAATTAATAAGTGTCAGGTAAATGTGAAAACACTACTTTGTGAGTTTCTATGGACGTATTGAACGATGCAACTATTGTCCAGCACACTGAAAAATGTTTCACACCTATAATGGACGCTTTTATTTAGTCTTTGAATGAGAATGCATGAAAAAACTTCCTAAACATGAACATATTGACTTTTGTTCGCGGCAGCTATTGTAATTATCGTACATAAAACTAGAATCTGGTAAATAAATACGAGCTCCATAAAAATTTCCCAAACAAGCGAACTAAACAGTATAAAATAAATTAATTTTTCAAAATGTGTACATGAGTTTAATTTTAAAACTATTTTAAAAAGTGCGTTTCAATGTAATGGATTATTTTGATGAAACATAAACACAGAGTTTGCAAATTGTGCAATTATTAGTTAATATTTTCCATTAAAACGTGCCAATTAAAAATGATATGATTTCAAACTGTTTGTACGCTGTTTATACATTGAATAAATGTTTGATCTTCTGCATTAACACCAAAACATGGTGGTGGGTGTTTTTTTGCCGCAAAATATGTTCATCAATTTTTCTTTTCGCGTCATGTTTGGTAAAACCAAAGACAAAAATATTCTTTAAAAAGTATTTCACGACCTTGCTTACATATTTAACTACCGCAGTGCAGCTTTATCAATAGCATTTACCAGTCTGTAATGCAGTTTAGTCTCGCTAATTCTCTTCTAAGCAAGATCAAGATATTGGCGGTAAATGGAGGTTGTCACAAACCAACTTTGCTCGATTGCACAACTCCTTTGAAGACAAAACACAATAATGTGTGTTTTACCCGGCGCATCCACCATTCGCCAGGATCTGCCGCAACTTGTGACAATTTGCGCCCAAGTTTAACAAAATTTCTTTTATTATTACGTGATACGCTCACCAACAGGTTTAATGAACTCGCTACATTATTATAGTTAGAATTCTTGAGAGAAAATTAGAAACACGAAACGTAAGCACCCCATTAAGTCGTTTCATTTAGTTTTTGGGAGGTATGTAGTTGAATCATGAAGATTTGATTACTCGTTATAATATATCCATTATGCGGAAGGGTTGCAAACGGTGTAAACGATTTCTTCACTTGCGTGCACATCGTCAGTGCGTTAATAAAATGGAAACATTCGTCCGAAATAACAACGCTCGAATAATTTTTGCGGTGACATCTACTAATAAATGTTTGCCTGAAATTAATACGGGGTGGGATCCGGACATAAATAAATTAGCTTAAACAGCAATCGCGGCAAGCGAGTGGTTACAAGTGACTGAAAACACACTTACCGCTCTGAAAATGAAAGTTACACGTTTCAGGCTTTATCCCTGTTCACCCTCATTAGTCCGTAATAGGAATCAATCTCACATGTCACAAGTTGATTTATTGAGCACATCACCACAGATCCGTTCTTGTAATTATCACATCGACCACCGATTTTTTTGCGATGGCATCACGATGACTAACCCGAAAATCCGGCTCAGAAAGGACCGTTCGCCTGACTTTGTGGAGAGAACACTCGGAATGCAACGTAAACAGTTACCGCTCTCTACACGATTTATTTCGAATCCGGTGAACAGCGCCCGGAACGATGTTTACTCCGGTGAGGCGCTGAAGCTATTGACTGCAGCGCCTCGAAACGGTGAACGAACTGAAACGGAACGACGCGAGCACAACCGATCTTCAGTCGACTTATTGATGTGGCCACCAGCCCTTTTTGACGAGGGAATCCAAAATTCTCCCGGACCTCAGATTTATTTCAATTTAATTAAAGGGATTTAGTGTTGGTGAAATTATAATATAATGTGTGATGGTGGTATCTCGCTCAGATCGCAAATTTCTCTTTGAGAGTAGTGTCGAAAGCTCTGTTTCTTGGGCGACGAACGTCGCTTTTAACGGCAGCGCAGGTATCGAGTCGTCACGGCTCGCCGTTGTGGTTGCAAAAAATTAAATGAAAAATCGTGCGAGAGAGATACAAGTCACACACGTATGAGTAAGGAAAGATATAGAATGGCGCGCATTCTTGAAACATAAACATAAAAAAATACAAAATTGTAACAGTATAAACTCAAAACACACACCCACTTTAAATAATAATGAATAGACTCAATTTCATGTGTAAATAAATGAAGGTAAATAGTCGGAGCAATCACACAAGTATTGTAAGAAATCTTCTGCCTATTTTATACCAAGGCAATTCTAACTTGTAATTGTAGTTAAACACCTAAACCAGACAAGTAAACATGAAAGACTTGGCAAGTGAATTACTGAAAGAAAGCAACGGCTTCGAACTGTATTCAGTGTGTTTCTGTGTCCACAATCACAACTAGCTGTGTTCAGTAAATACGAGATTCATAAGTTTGTGCATACAAAGTTCACCACATTAACATATTCCAAAAATTCTGTGCAATATTAAGTTAAATAACTTTCGAAAAATGGCAAGCGATGAAAGTAGATAATGTTCTCAACGATGTTAATAAAGTGAATATATCTAAATATATGTCGGAACACAATGATTTTTAGCGTGAACCTGCTGCTTGAAGTCACAATGCCACCCATATAAAACACTTATTAAATAGCGTATAGTCAAAATAAAAAACAAAATACAAACTTATGTATGTATATTGTTTTTAGCGGATTTAGATAGATCATTATCTGCTAACTTTTAAGGCAAGGAATCTTAAAGTACTACAATATTTCTTTGCTACCTGTCAAAAATAGTTCAATTGCGGTCACAAAATTTCAATATACTTTCCTATTATCTATTCTTCAGGCCCAATTTATAATAATATGACTATTTACGGTAGATATATTTGTCACCAGAAAAAGATATTTGCAGACATGTACAATTAAAATTATCTCTGGTATTAGGATCGCAGACAATGTTAAGCCATTCATAAATGTAAAATTCGTACAATTTTCTTTAATTATTATTACTTGTTGTATGTAAACTAAATCTAGCCATTTATTTTACAATGAACAAAGTCAAATCTATATTTACGACGCACGAAACAAACAAATTACCTATAATCTGATTATTATCTTCCTCTAAAAAAACCTCTCGTGAGATTAACTAGTAAAGAATTCTCCACAAATTGCCTGACAAATTATGAGCATTGCTTTAAAAAATACAATTTTGCTGTTGAGAAACTCTCTATGGTGCTGACGCTTCCCTCAACGAGAAATTTTAGATAATGACAAATGTGGTCTTCGATTTCCGTCTGTCTGTCTGACTGTCTGTCTGTCTGTCTGACGTGTGTATCCATTTTTATTAAACACGTAATCTCCTAAACTAACAGACCGGTTGTTGTCAAACTTTGTTTAAATATTAAGAATATCATGTAGATGGTTAAACGATAACTAAAATTTGGCTAATCATCTAAGTCAAAAAAACTAGTGAAAGAGTTAATTTATTTTATGATTGTCAGGAACTGCACAACCGAATGCTTTGAAATCTTGTAGACGTTTTAAACTTATCGTAAGCATGGTAAATTTTTGATCAAAATGTGTCTGTTTAACCCTTTCAAAAAATTGCTGACCTCATCTCAAAATTTTGCCAAATAAATCCTATCCAAAATGCAAATGTGATGAATGAGTCTACATTTGTGCTTTATCATTGCATTAAAAGTTTTTAAATTTCTTATACAGGCTGACTCAGAAAGTAATAAGTGAATCAATTTATTGTATTGATTAAGTCGGGAAAGGCTCACTTCATTTTTCCGAAAATTTGGGAATATAATACTGTTATCATTAGTATTACACTGCGCCTATCCAAAGTGATATACGTGTCTTTGCAAAGTGATATACGTGTCTTTGCAAAAATGTTGATGATGTCATCAAGGGAAAACTTTACATTTGTTTTAACGATATCTTTATTATACCTTATAAGGGTTCTTATAAAAAAATAAAATTCGCATAAACAAATTTTATAATTTTTCCAAAGAGTTGTATCGAAATAACCTTCGACCATGTTTTTTTAAATGGAATTAGAATTTCATTACTTAATCCGGCTTTTTAAAAATCTGAAATCATTATTACTTATGCCGAACAAGCCGTCGTTTGTATTTATGTTGACGTGTGTTTGATGGTGTAAAATTTTTATTTTCTTTATTTTGTGGTAAAATTGGCTGTCATTAGTTGTTATCGGTGCTTGAGTTTTATGTTCACTGCATGTAACATTTCATTCAATCTGTACCGCAAAGCACCATATTCCTACTTCTATAATCATCGGTTGACCTAATGGCTTTTTGTTTAATTTAGCATCTGCAACATGCAATCTAGCGCATTTCACCCTATAGAATGTACGTGAAGTCATTAGCTATAATAATAATAATAATAATAATAATAATATAATATTGTTATTTGTGCAAAGTAAACAAAAGAATTTAATCATATTATAGAAACATGTACACCGAAGCCTGAGGAAATATTTAATCGTGAGATGAGATTATCCAATTAATAGAATATTTTTTCAGTCAAATATGCTTTGATACGTTTTTAAAACGAGTGTAGTAGAATAATATAATAAATCACTAAATATTAAATTTGGAAATATGATACAATCTTCTCTATTTCATATATTTACTGTATTCTAAAGGCTCTTCTTTGCAATTTAAACAACTTCAGTAAAGAAATCAAATGTACCCAAACTAAAATACAGTAGTTAAGAACACGATGTATTAAGGCGTAATATTAAACAAACAAGTTAAAGAAAGGTTATTTGCTAAATTTCTTAGGAGAAAGCTGCCGCTTTAAATTTTGTCGGATATAACTACATGGCCATAGTCATTCCAACCAAATTCATTATCCATAAATATTCCTAAGTATTTAGTACAACTTGCACGAATAATCGTAAGATCTTAAAGTAAGGAACACTGAAAATGTTTCTCGCTGTATTTTCCGCAGTAGCAATTCACATGTCATCTGCATAAAGTGTTACATCTGATTTAAAGAAATAATTAAGGAGGTCATTTACGCACAGTGTAAATAGTGTTTGCCCAGAGATGGGGCCTTGTAGAACTCATGATGAAATTCATACTAGATGAATGAAATCTTTCTTAACGAAATATCATATGTTACACAATTAAAGGCTTATAAGATCAAAGAAACTGGTTACGAAAATTCATTGCCATTTGAACTTTGAATAATATAACTTGCAGAAAAGTGTTTACTAAAACCAAACTGACGCGAACACAGTAAATTGTTTTTATTTAGGTAAGTATTCAGCAACCTGTTAAAAGTATCCTAAATGGGAAGAGAATATTTAGGTATATCTGTTAAAAAGTGAAAAAGCGCAGAACTATCAAGTTTAGATCGAAAAATCTTTACAAAAAAGAAAAAGACTAAAACCGAAATAGAATTGCTTTTGATTATCTTAGAATATATATTGATAGTATACTATCAATCAATCAATTTTGGTGATACCACAACGAAGTACATACCCTTATTTATCCATTATTGCAACCGATATGTTAAAAATGGCTTTAGTACGACGGTAAAAAACTCGGATCGAAATTTCAAAAATAAAATATTATTAGGAACAGTGTCCAACGGGTAAAAAAGACCCAATTACAGAACACAGAAGGCAGTAATAAGAGAATTGGACACATTACATTTGGAATTTACATGTATTATAAGTTATAACGTCCTGTGATATGATTAAAGATACAATTGAGAATATCTAGATGATTTTCTATATCCCTATGATTTGAAAGCATCTGCACAAGAGGAGAACCAGCTGCACCTACCGTTCTTCTGGTGGGCAAATGCACATTAGTTTTGTTGACCTTCAGATAGATATTTTGCAAGATATTCAACAATCTTGGGTTCCTTTGAGAATTTTAAACAACAAAAGCTGAATGAAAGAACACTGAATGCTCTAAACCTAGGTCACGTATTACTTCTGGTCTAGTTAGAATAATGTTATCCAAATTGCAACTGAAGATAATAGGTATTTCTTTCTTTGCAAACGTCATCACGTAACATTTACATTTATTCAATATCAAATAGTTTCTTACTCACCATACAAAAACTGCATACAGACATTTTTTCAAGCGATGAGAGTCTTGGAGCGAGTCAATATTACAAAATTTAAGGTCATCTGCAAGCAAAAGAGAATGTTTTTTTATAGCCTCCGCGATATCATTAATATATATATCAAACAATAAAGGACCCAACACCGAATCCTGGGGAACACCAGTTTCTTGTTTGAACAGTTCCGACTTGATCTTAACCAACAGGTAACGATTATCCAAATAAGAACTTAATAAAGAAATCAGCGGATCAGAAAACCTAAAGAATTCTAATTTTTGGAGTAAAAGCCGGTAGTCAATTTTGTCGAATGCCTTCGACAAATCGGTATAAACAACATCAACGTTGATTATCTAGTGCATCCCATAGAAACTGAGCATAATAATCTGCCAAACCGTTTACAATATCCCTAGATTAGATAGAGATTAGCCTTCTTTTTGGAATTCAGAATGCCCAAAATTTCTTGGGATCTGACTTAACAGAATTATTCATTTGCTGTATGTAGAGCTGGTAAGCTTGTTTGATTTTTGATTTTAATAGCTTGCGCAAATTTTTGAAAGATATATAATCATGAGGATTTTGTTATTTGATGTTTCCGCCAGGCAGATTTT